CTGTCTTTGTTAGTCTTTCCAGGGTTCCAACACTCACCAACTCTGGTTGCTCTCCTCAAAGCCATGCACATACTGCCAGTTCCTCAAGGCTTTACAGAGCGTTTTGGCATCGTTCAGCTCATTGTTTTGTTACTGTTCTGATTTACTTTTACCCCTTTTCAGTGCTTTCCGACTGCAGGAGGAAGCCATTTTCAGCAAAAAAAGCTCTGATAAACCGACTGTACACTAACTGCCCAGCACCAAACAAGAGCATTTAGCAGCTAAAGAGACGGATATTTCCCTCAGGAGATGGAGGAGAGTGAATATTAGACTTACATTCTTCATCGTGTGATCAGAAACGCGTTTTCAAATGCTAATGTAGCGCTGTGCCTTCTGGAAATGTTACATTACAACTCTATAACGCAATAATGTGTCAATGTTGAGTTTAAAGGTTGTTGCACTGGCCCCCAAGTGGCAAAAACAATGAATTAATGCAGGTTTAAAATGTGGATTCATGTGTTTCTATTAAACTCTGTCAAAATGTATTCATTAAAATAATCCTCTAAGGAAGTAAATATACATTTAAAAATGTACTAACCAGACAGCCACTGAAGGAAATCTAAAAATATCCCAACAAACACAATTTCTCTGCAGCGTCAGCAGGCAGGTAAAAACAGTGAACAGCACGGTCAACTGGCAGCTTCTCATTTTTCACTCTGCACAGCAAAGTCTCAGCTTTTGATCAACCAGCCAAGATGTCTGCAGGAGAGTTCCTAAGGTTTTACCCTCTTTCTCATATTTGCTTGAGATTTTCATTCTCAAAGAGACTCCCTTCAGTGTTTGGATTTAGCATGTTCACATTGGGATATCTGCATTCTCGCAGCAATGGAGGCAAATTGTGAACCACTTTCAATATTTTATATGCATCAGATGTTTTGTAAAGACTTTTTTTTTTACTCTAACCACAGAAATCCGAAGTGCTTTTAAATTCCTTTGGTGAGAACTGTAACATGCAACCATTTAATTTAGATATATTATTTTTGAGTTTGTAGTCTGGCATTGGTGCCCGAAGAACAATCAGCCAAATACCAGGCGTGCCTGGAAAATTGGTGCACTCTGACTTGTTTGCCAAGTCAGAGTGCATCAAGGACAAACGTTGTCCTACATTCAGATGCTATAAGAGGAGATTTACTTTCCTCCAGTACAATCGTAATGACTCAGCAAGAGTCGGCTGGTGCCTCGAGTCATCAGTGAATTTCACACACAGCCAACGAACGTTTATGCTTCTGATTAATTTTTTTATGGTTTATATAAATCTTTAATTTAATAGTTGAGGTAATGATTTATTTTTTAAGAGAGACGGGTGCACACAATTAACATATAAAGAACAAGCATAAATACACTAAATATCAATATTAAAGTAAAATACTTTTAATTTTTAAGGAACACATTTGGAATTTGAACATGCAGCACAAGGTAAAATGTTCTGTAACACTGGAAAATGTTGGGCAGGTTTGTTGAAGCTGAAAGCTGAAAGGAAGTGTGTATTTATTTATTATTATGATATATTTATTAACTTATTTAAAGACTTTTATTTTATTTTATTTTAAAGAACATTGAGTGCAGTATATTCATTCCTTTCTTTTTTATTTATCTTGAGATGCCACAAATGTTTTTCCATTTAAAATTGTATTATTATTATCTATTTATTTATCATTTTTTATATTCATTCTTTATATTTTATTGATAAAGTGGGGCCTGATAATTCCAGTAAAGCTTTATAATGTAATGCCAATGGCTTTATTTATATAGCATACTTCATTACATGTAAACTAAATGTGCTTCACACTGAGGGACAAAATAAAAAATAAAGGCATAAACATGAGAAACTAGGTAACATGAACAACATAAATAGTAAAGTAAAATGCAGAAACTGAATGAAGAATGCACCCAGTGTACATCAAGCATACCACACAGCAATAAAAACCCGAAAACATCCACACAATCAAATAGAAACCCTTGCACTATCACTGTGACGCCCCCTGTTGGGTCATCTTGTGTGCTGTGTGATTCACCTGTTTCTCTGCAGCTGATCATTAAGGTAACCTGGAACACCTGAAGGCCCTGGTGTGCTCCCAGGTTGTTTAAGCCTGGCTCCCTTCTCCCTACAGGCACCAGTTTCTTTGGTTTAGTATGTCCTGAGTTTATCTTTATGCCCTTATTTGCACTTTACAGCATCCACACACACCTCTGACAGTACTGACATCCATATACTGTGATACTGTAAGCAAGGTGATATATTGTGACTTTTAAATACATTTTAGTACGTTTAATACATTTCATGCAACCAGAACAGTGAGATCTGCACTTTTATCTATCACAGTCCATGAAACATCCAAGATCATAGCCCTCACTTCAGTTTACAACACTGCTATATAGCATTCGGGGGTTTAGAGACAAGATATATTGTTTTTGAGAATCAATACGATATCATATATTAAAATATTGCGAAACTTATATATTTGTTGATATTTTCTTATACCCCTACATCTTAATCATCCTTAACTGGTGCTTTAATTTACTTAATTTGCTTCAGTTTTCTTTAATAACATGTTTTTTTTATTAAAACTTTATTGTAATTTGTTGCTGTGGTCAAAGAGTCGGATCACACACAGACTGTGCGCCTGGGAGAATAGGCTGGACTGTGAATCTCCCGTCTGTTGGTTAAAGAGGACCATCGCACCTTTTCAGTGTTGAGTCAAGAATGATAAAGCACAGTGCACCACGAGGTCTTAGAGTGGAGTGAGAGGCATGCATAGATACAATATCACCATAATACATAATTATAGTCTGAACAACAGTCTTCTGACCAGCAGAAGAAACACATGAATCATTCAGTTTCTTCTTGTCTGTAATCAAGCCAGATCCCTAAATATTTGCAACATTCAACCTTTTTCAATTTGTCCACATTGTGTCTGTGATTGTGGTTGCATTTGGCCTCTTGTATTGAAGTCAGCATGAGCCATAAAACCTGACACTTTGACCCCCTGACTTACATCCACATGCCACACTGCAAGGCTCCGTCTGAGCAAACACGACCCAGAGGAACAGAAGAGTGTGTCTGTCTCTGTAGCCGAGGCTCTCACACTGCATTGTGTCTTTATTTCATACATATGACCTCCGTGGTCATTTTTTAGATCTCTATTTTATTTCAGTTGGGAGTATGGATATTCGATTGTGTAATTATGGATACAACAATCTCTCCACATCTTGAAATAATCATTTTCCCAACATTCATGCTGCTTTATAGTTATTGTGAAAGGAAATAAGATCTCTGCCAAAATAATAACAAAAAGGGCAAACAGGACAATCTACAAAAATACTTCAGATTAATGATAGTAAAGAAGATGTATGACATATTGTAGTGGTAGTAAATGTAAAATGGACAGGGAGAGAGTTTGTGGGAAGATGGACGAGCAGAGAGAGATTAAAAACAAGCTTCTTTTTTTTCTTTAGGCAACTAATGGAAGTGAAACGTTAATTAAATAGTTAAAACATCTGCTGCACTACTTAGTTCCAACCTAATACTGACTGCTGCATATGTGATTTTCTTTCAGTGGTGGATGAAGTATTCAGATTCTTTACCTAAATAATACAACACTACGATATTGGTCCATTACGTTAATGCGTAACTGCTGAAGTTAGTTGAGGAGAAGCTCATTTTAACTATTTTATATACTGCAGGTAATCTGTTCAGTCTGTAACACATCATATTCTCACAGATGAGATAAATCTACACCTCTATGTAGAAAATACTCATTGTTGTCTATAGACGACGTAAATGTTTTTCATTCACGCTTATTTATGTTTAAATACATGAATTGCAGACGACATCTCCCTGATACATTTATTTTTTTTATTATTTTATCGTTTGACATTTACTTGGAAAACGATGTCTGTCATACAACCATTTTTTAAATCAAATATAGGAGACCACAATTATGGAATTAATTGAATAAAACATTAAAATCTGTATCTTCCTCATCAGCATTTAGGACAATAAGTTTGATAAGTTTCTTGAACCTTATGACGAGATGCTTCGTTGGTTGTATGTTTACTTATATATTTGTTTTAGTTTCTCATTTGTACAACTGTTTATGCTTGCTCTGTGTGCGTTGTGTATATAAAGTTTGGTGCTATGTGTTTTTTCGTTTTATTGGTTACTTCCTTCATACTTCCTTGTATTCCTTGAATAATAATTAAAACATTTTAAAGAACTCTTTTTCTTAATTCCTCTCCTGCACTGTAATAAAATAAAATAAAAATAATATATAATAAAATTATAATAATAACAGTAAAACCTAAAACAAAATCTGAACCAAATGTTTGTACATGAGGTCTGTTCCTGAATTTGTTTATGCTTGCTCTGTGTGTATTATGTATTTAAAATTTGGTGCTATGTGTTTTTGTTTTTGTTTTGTTGGTTACTTTCTTGATATTCTTTGAATAATAATGCCATTTTTTAAAAAACCTTGTTTTACTTCATTCCACTCCTGCACTGTAATAATCACTGTTTTTATATGTATGAATTGTGTTGTGTATTATTGAGCAAAACCGAAACCAAATGTTTGTACATGAGGTCTGTTCCTGAATTTGTTTATGCTTGCTCTGTGTGTATCGTATCGTGTATATAAAGATTGGTGCTATGTGTTTTTTTTTGTTTTTGTTTTGTTGATTACTTTCATGTTTTCCTTGATACTCTTTGAATAATATTTTTGCTTTAAATTAAACCTTGTTTTACTTCATTCCTCTCCTGCGCTGTAACAAAATAAAACAACAATAACACATAAATAAAAATCAGAATAACAACAATAAAACCCTAAACCAAACGTACACTAGGTGGCGGTGTGCACCTGAGTTCACCGTTGAAAACCGAGAGACGAAGAAGAACAACAACAACAGCCGCTCATTGGTTGAGCCGCGGTGACGTCGGAGCGTCTCCCTCCCCCCCCACCCCCTACGTCACCGGCTCGCCTGCTCAGCGGACGTGAACATGGCGGCGGTGGATGTCATTGTGAACAACCTGGTGACTCTCTGGAGGATCCCGGCCGTCCGGCAGAACTTCCACTGGATCTTCCTGCTCATCTCCGTCGTGGGTTCGATCCTGAAGGAGCTGCAGCTCGTACCGCAGACGTACTTCAGCAGCAGCAGGAATGCGCTGAATGTGTGAGTGGTGTTTTCTCTCTCTTCAGCTGGAAAAAAAACAAAAAAAAAAAAGCAACAACCGACGGATTCAACCTGTCTGTGGTTGTCTGTGGTTGTCTGTCAGGGTCGGTGCTGCTGGCTGACCGCATTAAAGGATGTTTACAAGTGTCTGGGTGTTTTTCCAGTTAATTTAGCAAACTGTGGAGTAATGTGGGTCAAAGGTAAAGCTGGAGCTCTCTGTGGGTTAACTCCATCAGCAGCACAGTGAAAGAACAAGAGGCTCGCTTTAAACCTGAAATACTTACATTTCTGCATTCAATATTAACCCAATACGATTTTATTATTCTCCACAAAATCCAAATTCATGAGTTCTCCAGCTGTGGAAGACATGAAATCAGTGGTTGCTTAATTAAACCTTCTCTTTAATAATAACCAGGATAAATGTGTTTAAAGCTCAGTCCCTTTGGCTTTAATGAGAATTTAAAGAAACATTTAAATGTTCCTGTGTACTACTGACACTATACCAGAGCTACAACAATATTATTTTGATAGTCACATAACCATTTGAGTAAGGATGCCAAAGATTTGCTGGTTCCAGCTCCTCCGATGGGACAATTTGATGCTTTTATTTGTCTACATGATGGTCAACTAAATGTTTTTGGACTCTTGGTCAATAAAATCAACGGACAAGACGTCAACTTGGACTGTTAAAGGCCATTTTTCACTATTTTCTTCACATTTTATAGCTAAAATTGATTAATCAAGAAATAATCCAGCAGAGGAATCACTATTAAAACTAATCAGTAGCTGCAGCCCCTTAAATATAAATAACTTTATTGATACCCTGAGGGGGAAACTTGTGTGTTTGCTGAGAAATAACAAAAGATAACGTCAATAAGGAGTCGTATCAGAGGGCAGAGCTGATAAATGGTCACAGAGAAGCTCTAATAATGATGAATACTGTAAGTGCTGATGTGAATGCTCTGTTCTTCCTGCAGGTATTTTGTGAAAGCGTCCTGGGGATGGACGCTGCTGCTGCTGACGCCCTTCCTCCTCCTCTCCAACTCCTCCTTCAGCAGAAGCGCGTACTTCCTCGGCCGGCGGCTGCTGTCTCTGGCGGTGGCCACGGCCGTCTGGTACGTCTGCACCGAGACCTTCTTCTACATCGAGGACGCGACCGGCTCGTGTTTTGAAACCGACGCCGCGGACGTTCTCAAGAAGGAGTTCACAACCAAAGTCAGCTGCAGGCAGGCGGGCTTCCGCTGGCACGGCTACGACATCTCGGGACACTCCTTCATCCTGGCCTACTCCGCTCTCTTCATCGTGGAGGAAACGGCTCCCATGGCGTCCCTGAAGACCGCCAGCATCTCGGCGCTGCCCAAGCTGGTCCTCAACCTGCTCTACGTGGCCTTGAATCTGATAGTGATCATTTGGGTGTGGATGTTCGCCTGCACCTCTGTTTACTTCCATGACCCGTCTCACAAGTTGCTCGGGACCGTATGCGCCCTGCTGGGGTGGCATCTGACATATCGTGTTTGGTATCTAAAACCTTTGTCGCCAGGACTCCCCCCTCAGCGCCACCCGAAAGAACAGAAACAGCACGCCTAAGCTGCAGTCATACCTTCCTGTACAACGCCGTCGCCAATGTCGTAGCCATCCTCCGAACAGTCGATGTTATCTGTCCTCGGGTCCAAGCTGGCAATGCTATTTTAAGCTATTTTAAGTTATTCCCTCCTCACAGAAAGGACGGTTTGTACAGGACCACTGGCTCGCAGTTCCTTCGTGGTCGTTTGGCAGCTGCTGTTCCCAAAATGACTCTTGGTAATCCGAGATAAAAGCAAGACGCTGCTCTGCTGCCCAGCTTCCAGCCTCTCACCTTCAGGCTCAGCGGCCGCGCACTGCTACACCATTGTCTCCCAGTTTGTTGCCTTATAGTGCTTTACTCAGAGTAATCACAGTTTTTAGACGTCTGAGTGGGAACACTTTGAGAATGTTTACAGCTCCAGTTGTGTAGCACTGATGACGTGTGTGTGTGTGTGACCAACTAATGTTCCGTAGCTGTTCATTTTTGTCCTTTTTAATAGGAAACTACCGACTGAACAAAGTCAGATCAGACACATTTCATTTCAATGAGCTGTCTATTTTTTATCACATGGTTTTCTGGTTAGTGTGACAACAGTTTGTGTTAAGTTTGCTCAGAGGATGTTGAGCTTGAATAGCAGATGTAAAGGTAATTTTAATGTGTCATGATGCGTGGAGTGTAATTGTAAGCCAACCCTGCAAGTGCAAATTATTAATATTATTAATATGTTGTAAAGGTTGAAGATGGAAATATCGACAGTTATTTCCGTTATAGATAATCTGATGGTTATTTTAAAAATGTTCACACAGGTGATCTTCAGGTGTCTTGTTTTGTCCGAGCAACAATCCAAAACCCAAAGACATTCACTTTACTATCACATAAAGCAAAGAAAAGGAAAAAAAACTTGAAAACAAGCCACATTCAATTTCTGATGATGGACTAATCCATTAATCAACTAATTGTTTTAGTTGTAATTTTATTTAATGTCAACACCAACATGAAATGACCAAAACTGAATTTAACCCACTAACTAGTACTGTATTATAAATATTGCCAAAGTCTGATATATCTCTTCATCTGTGCCACAGAGTTGCAGCTTTAAACAATTAAAAACACAATTCACACACACACACACACACACCCCGTCCTGCTGCCATAAATACTCACTAGATTACCAAATGTGTATGAGTCCGCATGTGAAAATAGTCCCGAACAAATGCTCTATTTGTTTAAATCTACAGTGCCAAGCTGCTACGGGAAATAATTTCTAGTTTAAAAACTGAAAGTTTCTAATTGTTGTTAAAGATTTCGTCCTCCTGAGTGCCGCAGACAGTAAACCTGTTAAGTATTAAAGGATGGATTAAAACATTGAAGGTTTTGGTCTTTTCATGGGATTTGTTGACAATAAGGATGCCAATAGAGTAACGCCAGCCTTGTCCTGTAATGAGGTATTTGGGAAACGTAGGTTCATGTAAATCATAGCAGTGTTTTTAATGATATTAACGATTTTATAAATCAAAAAAGTGACGTGTTAAAAACACAATCTCTCTCTAGAGTGCAGGGAACATGGTGGGTTTTGGTGAAATCAAATAAAACCAGGATCTGTGTATTCCATTTTTCATTATTTATTTGTCATTGATGGCAACTGAATAAATTAAGGCTTATGAACAAACATCATAAAAAGCACCATAAATAAATGCATATATAGAAATATAAAAAATAAAAAGTAAAAAATAAAAAAATACTATAGTGAAATATAATGGCCACAAATCACAACTAGGATTTCTCGACTTTCTCTCGACTTTGTGTGTTCGGTACAGAAGTACAGATCCAAACCCCTCAGGTAGCATGATTTCAGTCAGAAGAAGCAGTGGAGTCGGAACAGATCGCAGTAATCAAAATGCACCAAGCGTTCACAATGATTGGCTGGTTATGAAGTTTCTTGACGTTGTCATCGGCTGTCAGTGAATAAAATAAGTGAATGTTTCAGCATCGAAAAGTCAACATAAATAAGCACATTTTATGATTAAATCACAACAGGAAATCGTACTTTACACCTTTTGTGTCGTCTTGCTTGCTTCAAAACTTGGAATAATTCAGATACATATATTTGTAAATCTTCTGGTTGGTGCCGTTTACGTCACTGCTGCTCATGCGAGGACAGTTTAAGAACAAATAAACCTCCCCGTTTCCTTTAATGCACATCTTAAAAGCAGGGACGTGCACAGACAATACGAGGGGTTTTTGCTCTGACCTAAAAAAAAGGCAATCCGTAGATGATTAATGAGATTGCCTGTGAATAAAAATCTCCACATATGCTTCAGAACAATGTGCAGTGTTTCACGTTTGCATCACATCGCACAATGTTATGCTATAGGATCTCTGCCTTTATGTTCTCCTGCTAGCTAAGATTGGTTCATGTTATCGCGTAGTATTGCAAAATATTATATGCCGCGAAGTTTGGATGATATGGCAATATAATTAGGTTGAACTTCCTCCCAAAGGGGCAGCTCAGCCAAAGAGGAAAAGAGAAATTAGCTCGACTTTAGCCTTGTGCACGTCCTTGCTCAAATGTCTTCTTTCCGAGCATAAAAGGATTGATGCCAAACAGTTGTGACTACACTGCGCTCTCCATATCAAACATGACACTGGACACAATGAACTACAGCTTCTACACTTTCTCACATATTTTTTTCTGAATGAAAATCAGATTTATTATCAGGTGTGACGCAGCAACGAGGTGCTGCTATTAAAGCAGCATTGATCATCGTCTTTGGTTCAACATAATCTGCCACAGCTGCAGCGTGCTGCTAATCACCACCTGCAGAGAAAACAGGGAGCATCCCAACAGAAAAAAACCCACATAAATTACCTTCATTATCTGAGGTTTGACAGCTATTCTCCTTAATGGCAGAAAGAAACACTGAACTGTGAGTCCTTTCTGCAAGAATGTCTGTATAACCAGCCATAAAACCAAAAAGCAGCTTACAACTCCAGCCTGTACCTCACATAATGAGTTAAGCACGGTTCAGGAGCAGAATTATAACATGTTAAACCCTTGAGGTCTGACTAAGAAAAAGCAGAAAGGCTCCCATTAAGGGTGAACAGAGTGGGGAGCAGAAAAGTACACTGCATCAACAAACAACGTGACAGCTGGCAAGGCTAGCCGGGGGGGAAAGGCTTTTTCATACACCTTTAAGCCTTCAGATGAGTCAGCTTCTCCTCCACTGTTCCACTTATTTAACCTTTGAGCTCATTAAAAATTCATCATGGTAAAATAAACGAGACAATGTATAATTAAAAATATCTATCTGTAAAAACAATCTTGAATCTGTCAGGAGGAGTCGGCGACAAACAAGCCGCAGTGAAATCCAGTGATTCAGTATTGCTGAGGGACCATCTCCAACACACTGTACAGTGCAGGTGCTTCAAAGGTTACAGTTAGCCACAGAACATTTCAGGAAACTGTGGTTCTGATGTTCAGGTAGTGATCATAAATTCTGCCTCTGGGCGACACAAAAATCCTCAGTGTCCACCCGTCACGAAAAAACGCTTACACAATATAAAGAACCCATGCAATGAAATATACATCCTAAACCTAATGCAACACATTTGTGCCATAGACGCAGAATTTACAGTTTTTACTACAAGTTCGGCCAAGTGTAACTTTTCAAACACCCAAGATTTGTAACGTCTCAACTCAGCGACAAAGAGAGTGACAGTGGACCAGTGTGTGTTGAGTGATCTGTGGTGCTCTAAACAAACTCTGAGCGCACGAGTGTCTGTGTGTGTGTGTGTGTGTGTGTGTTTTATTGTGTGTAGGGTGTACAGTTAGTTAAAAGAATAGCTCGACATTTTGGGAAATGCACTCGTTGCAGAGAGTCAGACGAGGCGATCGATATCACTCTCGCGTCTGTCTGTAAATATGATGCCTCAGTCAGCAGCCTGGTAGCTTAGCTTAGCATAAAGACTGGAAACCGGTAGCCCCAATTTATGCCTGTCATCTGTTACTGTTACTTTATTACTGCTAAGAATCTGCTTTTCCTAAAAATATACACCAGCAAATTGTTGGAAAAACCCAGAAGGTTATTGCTGTTCCCTGTATCCTCAAAGACTCTTCTAACCATCTGGACAAAATTAATATTCAGTTTGCTGCACAGTAAAAACGCATTTTTAAACCTGTCACCTCTTTTTAAATCCAATTAAAGATAGTAGCCAGAATCTCCTTGCTCAGTTTGTACAATGTGAACCAAAAATTAAAGTATATGTATGTTTCTTCCCAATAATTTAATATTTTCATACAAAATAATGCACTTTGCTTGTGACTTACAAACAGAGCAAGTCTTTTTTGGCTACCTGGATCACAGTCACAACTTGGAAAAAGGATTAAAAATGTGTTCTATTGTTCAACAGATGGGGTACTTTTATCATCCAGATGGTTAAAAGAGTATTTGGACACATTATGGAAACACTTGGGGCAAACTAGGGCCTTCTGTTTCCCCTTGTTTCCAGTTAAGCTACGCTAACCGGCTGCTAGATCTAGCTTCATATTTAGCATACAGACCTACAGAACAGCAGTAACTGTTAAACAACCCTCTGGGTTTCTGGGTAACGTATATATTTTTTCTTAAAATTGGAAGCTGTGACTTGAAAATGAAGACATGAGAAGCATTAACCGGGGCTAGGAAACAGCTATCCTGGCTGCATCCAAAGGTGACAAAATCAGCCAACCAGCATCCACAAATACTAACTTTTATGCTTTTTTTGGTACGAATTAAACAAATGAAATAGGTAAATATACAGGTTGATTAGTAAGCGTTAGAGGTGCTTGTAGGCAGATTTATTAATCTTTGGACAGTGCCATGTTGGCTTTTTACCCCTGTTTCCAGTCTTTACGCTCATATCCTTGGTGGTGGGATATGAGCGTAAAGACTGGTATTGATCTCAACACCTCTCCTGAATGAAAGTGAATAAACTAAATGTTGAGCTATTCCCTTAAAGTTTGCCTCCATCCTTTCATCATTTCATGTGGCAGTTTCTGGCAGCACAGCACTTATCAGAAAGTATTTGTCATGTACAATTCCCTGTGGTTTTTACTGGTTAAACCTCAGGCTGATGGAGGAGTGAAGAGCATGAGTAATGGCTATAATAGTGGCATGCGAAGGTCAGTTAACCCCTGTTGGTGTTACTGTGTTTAACATTTTCTCTGGGTCTCTACTTTTTCAGTATAAGTGGACCCGATGCATGCCTCCAACAAAAGTTAAACAAGGACTCGCCGGCACAAGAGCGGCGAGTTACCACAAATTAAACTCGATGAAGGCCTTGATTACCAGAAAATGTGCTGTCAAGAATTTCTTATTATGGAATGTTTTAATATTCTTTGTTCACCCATAAGTAATAGTGTTCTCTATATAGATTCATTATGTTTTCCTGCAGTCATAAAACATTACAGAAAAGTTGAAACATCACACAATTACACAGACATTTAACACAACAAGAGGGCATTCACTACATGTATTTCTTTTTTAAATACCAGTAGGCAAAGTAGCCCATCCCTCCCAGCGAGCCCATGAGAAAAGAGGCCCCAAAGAAGGACGGCGGCTTCTTTTTTACCATCCGGAAGGCGTTGGGTAGGACCGCCGACAGAAGGGTCGTGTGGATGTCGCCCAAGACCTTGCGGAAAGCGTAGCGTTTTTGCACACGCACAAAAAAGGACTGCAGGTTGGGTCGGCTGCCGTCCTCCCAGTATTTCTTAGAAAGTCCCAAGAACTTGAGCCTGTGCAACAAGGCTCCGAGGCAGACATCAGCTAGTGTAAATTCAGGTCCACATAGCCACAACTCACATTTCTGACCTGCAAGGGAATGACATTTTCATTATTTGGTAATCTTTGGAAAATGTTTTTGGTGCCGTTATGATAGAAGATGGTAATGGTATTGACATACCTTGATACTCTAGTTTTCTTTTTTCCAGTTCAGCCTCCACTTGATCTAGAACCATGGCTAACTCTCCCAGAATTTTCTTCAGGTAATTCACATTATCGTGGTCCAAGATTTTTGCCTGACGATCATTTTAAAGACAAATAAATACTTTAGCAGTATAAAAGGCAAACCAGAACGCATTGTTATAAATTCTTATCATCACAAAGTAAAATAACAATGTTAAATATGGACTGTAGTGCTTTAAGAAAAGTGATAATTTTTGGTTTAACAAAATGAGATTGAAGACAAATTATAACTGAAAAAGATTAATTTATTTACTGACAAAAATCTTTAAAATATATTTTCTTTATCAAATTATTTTTTCATTATTTTTTTTCTAACGTAAGGTATAAACTGTGCAAAACAATCCATATTTTCTTTTCTTTGTAAAAATGAAACTTGTCTTTTTGTCTTGATACAGCTACTGACGTAAGTGACGTAGAACGTCGAACAAGCAAAGTCAAAAGTACATAGCACCCTCTGTTGTTTAAAAAGAGTATCATAATTCATTCACACATTCATTTTTCATCCCATCAATCTGAATCATCACATATTTGTATCGCGACAAGATTAAAATACAGTTTTGTTTGTAAAATCAAAGTAATGCGAATAAGTGTTTCCATCTTTCAAACTACTTTCCTACACGATTACAAAAATGAATCCAAGGATGTGATTGTTGGATTTCAAATTCGTAGGGGGAGACAACAAAAGGAATGTTGTAACTTGTTATTTTTTGGGGGCTAACTGTAATATTATTACTTAAATGTATTAATAGTTTGTCAGACTACTAGTTAATGGGGAAAGTAATATAATTACTGGTAACATTATTACTAGTAATGACTCAACACTGCTTGCGATATATCGTTACATTCCCATTGACAGCCCTTGCATGTAAAGTCATTTTGCCCCATGTTAGATTGTAAATGTTGAGAATAACTGAAGTGTTACAGCCACATCACTGGCTCATGTTTAGCAGGTAATGTTTAACATGGGCCCAGTTGTAATATCCCCCCTAAGTCCTGGACTATCACAGACTTTAATGAACGATGTAACTTAGTTTTATCATCATAAGACAAACAACTGCACATACAAAGTCCAGGTTGGCAATATGTCTAATTAAAATAATTAAAAATAAATATCTTTCTGCTGACTCCTTCCATGTGTAATTCCACTGTCTTTGTCGTTTTAAGTTCACACAACACTGTGGGCATTGTGGGTTTTTCCCATAAGCAAAGACTTATGGAAAGTGTGCAGAAAGAGCTCAAAACATCAGAGCAGCTTCAAACACTTTGTTGATTTCACAGTAGAGACACTCCTGAGGCCTCGCAGACTTAACATGAACACACAACATAATCTGTGAGCGTGTAGGGGGAGACATTAGAACTGGGCCATTTTATTTTCTAATTAGCACTAAACACAAAGTACAGCTCAGTCTAATGTGAATGTTAATAAAGTATTAGAGAAATTAGTGCCAGTATTTGAAGGCACTGGCAGAACCCGACAATTTTAGGGGAACATGAATGTCATATACTCAAAACCACAAATATTAACCTCAAGATGGCGCGAGAGAAGAAGTCAGGTGATCACCAATATCACTACGATTCACCCCCTGATGATCATAAATGTCTTTTTTAATACATTTTGTCTTAATCTGCCTCATTGGTGTTGAGATATTTCAGTGTGGGCCAAAACTGTGGACAGACCAACCAACCAATCAACACACTGTCATTCCTAGCACCACTTTGCTAGTGTGGCTAAACAACTGACATGACACACACTGATGTCTCATTGATTCAAAACCTCACATGTTCATAACGCCGGTGGAACAGCCGTTGCTGTCTACTTGGTGTTTTTTCAGCCCGTCATCGTGTGCAGGGTGTTCACATTTTCCGCTATTAGCAGGATGTAAAATGGTCAAATATGTCTTTGTAACAGATGCAAACGGAGTCAGTACACCTGGACACTTTCTCCAAGGAATATGAACTGTATTTAGGTCAAACGTACAGAGTACAGAGTAGCGTAATGAGAGGAAACTGCTGAAGGCTGGTCATGATGAAATTTCCCTCAGCTACAGAGCTGGAAATTCAATTATGTGGTCAAGACAATTTGGAAAATGAAATAATATCTGTCAGAGTGTTGAACCCTAATAAACACCAGTTTAACTTGTGGTGGGTCTGTTTATCGCAGAGCTGTCAAAATAATGTCTCTATTATATTTCTGTGCTCCAGTTTACAGTTCATGGGTGTGGGATATCTCCAGGTGCAGATTAATGATATATAAGTCCTGGTTTGGGTTACAGTAATGGACTGTTAAATATTAAGGATATTTATGAAAACAATACTGCAGGTTTGTCTTAACTTGTGCCTTAAAAGGACCTCAATTCTTGCTATTTTAGCTATTCATCCCACATTCGGGTGTAATTAATGGTTTTATTGATGGACTGTAATATGTTAAGGTGTTTTGAATGGGTTTTCTATGTAGATTAAAGGAATTGTAAGTGATAAATCCCTTAGAGTTCCCAGAATTTTCCCCTAATTTGAAACATCGCCTTTAAAGTATAAATTATGGGTTGGTTTTATGTTATTTGGCAAATTTTAACCCTTAAAAAGGCCTTAAACTCTCAAACTAATCCATTAAAAATACCTTATCACAGTCCATTTATTTATCTATTAATCTTTTACTTAAATCCCATTAAAATACCTTGATTCCATCATTAGTAATGCATAAATTAAGATAAAACTGTAATTCATGAATAAATGTACAGGTAAACTCACCATGAGCTTCTTCTGCTTGGACAGGTACGGTTCTGTCAGCTGAGGCTCCTCATGATCCAACTTCATCAGCTCCGTCGCAGCATTGGCCAGATGTCCTGAAGACACACACACACACAAAGGAAACAGACATAGTGTCTTGAATGAAAAAGTTATAGTAGTCAGGTTTTCTAGCCTGCGGTGTAAAATCTATGAAATCTTATAACAGACCTATAGATTGTGTTGCTTAGGAGATACGTGCATATAGTCAGTGGGCAAACTAGTCTTAAACTGCAGATATTATTGTATATTATTAGACATTTACTACATTTTTAAAGAACAGTGTTTCTGTCCTATTTTGCACACTTTAGGTATCGTGTGTTTAATCCTCTGAGCAGTTATCTGACTGTCCAGAGAGCTTTATTCTCATCTGGTCTCCCTTCAGGGTCGCTTGAGGGCAGCGGGAGACACTCGTGTTGTCAGTTGATTGTCCTGATGTATATCTGCTTCCTCAGTGCCTCAGAGCTCCAATGTTGTTCAAAAACTATTAAAAACTGTTCAAAAACTATTAAAAACACATCAGTGAACCACATTGTTGCACTGGCTGACATATTCCTTTATTATGATGGAGCACATACATCGTCCTGCTGCCTTAAATACTCACTAGAGCAACTTTGTGTATTAATCCGCTACTGAAATTAGTGCCCAACCAATGTCCTCCTGTTGAACTAAAGTTTGCTAAAAACTATAGTGCCCAGTTGTTGTAGGAAATTAATTAGCCTTTAGTCTCATACTTTAATGACAAAATCCACCCATATATATTTTACATTTTTCATTTTATTATTTATCATCTCTATTTATTGTCACTGCACAGCAAATATGAATGATTTTTTTTTTACATATTCACATTAATCTAAAGAAATAAACAAAATACCAAAAGATGAACCCAGAACTATTAAAACATTTCAGTGTGGGTTCTTTTAGTCTGAAACAGAAAAAAATTATTTAAGGTTTCAAATTTGACCCGGACTCAGAATCAGACTGTTTTTAATACCCAGAGTGAAAAATAGTCTTTATATAAAAAACAACATGAGTGGATAACTACACACAAACACCAGTGATGCTTTAATCAGGCTGAACAGCACTAACAGTCCAGACCAGGAGGCCTGATATCAGCTGTTGGGATGTATAAATCTGGCATCACTACAGTGTGCTGCACTAAGGGATTTTTGGTATTGAGTAGCATCAAATTACACAGTATGCTAATCACGCTGCGCACATAAAAACAGGGATTTGTTTGCCGATGATGTGGGAAATGGTGCAAGGAAGATGAATAGATTTGCATTCATAATGCCTGTCTGTTGTTTTTGCTTTGGGACGGTAGTTGGTCCCAAAGTTGAAGCTGATTCAACCTCGAGAGCTTGTAAATGTTCAGATTAGTGAGTTCAAAACACTCAAATCTATTTATAATATGCATCCAAAAGTAGAAACACACAGTGAAAATGAGGCAAAAAACTAAAATAGCATCAACTTTTTATCTTGTCAATCTACACATTCTATAAATAAATGTTATACTTTATGTAGTTATCGTTGTCCAATAAAGTTACTTGAATAAAATGTCTGAAATGCTAAGAGGTTAAGCATATTGCTAACACACCTGCAGACACACGTTTCCACTCAGAGTATTAAGCGTGTGTGAACATGCACTGTGAAATGCAGCAGAACACACTGTCACATGAAATCAAGCTGCATCAATGCACAATACGTGGTGATTCTGTAAACACGGTGTGCATTTGTGTGTGTGTTATACACACTTGAGTGGTTTCTGCAGAGGTCTGACTCTGTGGACAATCATCTGTCTTTATAGCGTGGGTCTTTCTAGGAGCAATGGTTTGTGAAGGATAAACTCTCAGTAACTGCGAAAGCTTAAAAGCTGTTTGATTTGGCACCTCATGGAAAGCTACTTTAGATATTTGTTTCTTTATGGCCTCGCTGTGCCTTGTTTGAGATCATAGGGCAGAGGTATAACAGAGGTGTTTGTTACAGGGTCTTAAAACCCTAGAGACTGCCTGAGTCAGTAACATTTTATAAAGTAATTGTGGTCAATGGCCTTTGGGAAATATGATTATTTGCTTTCTTTAGAGTAAGAAAAGATTCAAACGTGTTCTGTAAATATGAAGCTACAGCCAGCAGCCAGTTAGCTTGGCTTAGTATAAAGACTGGAAACAGGAAAAACCACATTTCACCGCCTCTAAAACTCAAGTAGTATCTTGTTTAATCTGTTAAAAAACTGAAGTGTAAGACTGGGATGTTTGAGACTCCAAGAAAGCAAATAAAAACATGTCCCAAAATGTTGAACTTTTTCTTTAAATTCTACTAAAACATACTTTGATTAGCCATAATACCCTTTTTTTATTACTGTAATTATTACTGGTTTTATTTATTTTATCACAGTATACCGTGGAATATGTGTATATATATACATTCATACATACATATACATATTCCACAGTGTTCTTGTTGTAATTAATGCAAAGTTATAAACAATCATGCCTACACAATAAGGCGAGCTGGCTTCACTTACTACGTATTTCTGCGGTGGCGTACTTTGGGATCATAGAGTCTGTGGTGAGCTCTGGATGGAGGATGCATCCGTGTGTGTAAGCGTCCATGGGCAGACCATCCAGTAGCTGACGGTACTGCTGCACACGTTCGTGGAGAGGCGAATCTGCATCAGGAATCAGCTGAGCCACCGTCTCTGCAGGGCGAGACACCGATGTTAAAAACAGGAATACAGACACATGAATTTCCCAGAACACCTAATGAACTGTTATTAAACTTGCTTTTATAATATAAAAATAATATAACTCTCAGTGCTTCAGCTGTCAGATGCAGAATGGAAACCTGGTAACAGATGACACCCCTCGCTCTCTGTAACACGCCACTGGTCACACTTCACAAAGCCTGACATTTAAACAATAGCGGAGCAATCTGAAAGAAGAATCTCCTGCAGACTAACAAGCTCCTGAGAATTCATACTGAGTGGGAAAGTAAACGTGTTTAAGCCAAAAACACAGTGCAACCCCATGAGATGAAATTCAAGGACAATCCAGATGAATAAAAACACACAATATACCACAGTTTCATTAAACACACAGGTTAATTAGGCACCACTGTAAGCTTGTGGCACCGATCCCCTACTGGCCTGATCCGTTCTATTTACCTGCTGTTGTTCAGATTTAAGGAAAAAATCAAAATGAGCTTATTTGCTTTGTTAGATGAGTAAATGAATACCACTCTCACTCACTCTCACTCATGCAGTACTCAGCAGGGCTTTAGTGTTGTATTTCCACACAGTTTAGACAGAACTACAATTACCGCCTCATGCATACAGATGTACATTCCAGATGTTTGGTTGTGGATCTTAATTCTCCACTAGCTTTGGCCTCTCCTTTTGCCTCTCGCTCTCCTTTTGTGCATCTTCGTTTCTTTCTCCCTCTTTTCTTACTACCTGTGTGAATGATGTGCTTGAGCTTTGAGTCTCTGTGATCTGTCCTCTTCCAGGTCTTGATGGTGGAGTGGTGGTCGTCTGGTTCAGATCTGTTTGGGAACACCTGGGGTTGCTCATTGTCTTCCTGGATCCATTATTTATATACATTTACAATATATCTGCAATTTTGTAATCATAATTGTATGAAATGTTGGTCTATTCTGCACAAGCAACATCTGTATTTTTTTCTCATTCGAGTCGAGAGTCTGAGAATAGAAGATGTCGTTTGCTGTACAGATTCTGAAGCCCAGATTCTGTCATATGGGGATATACAGTATAAATAAAACTTGTTGTTGTTGTCCATTAGCGTGTAAGCTCATTGCGAGAAGCATGAGTCACATTCCTCGTATGTGTTCACATGCTTGGCCAGTAAAGCTGATTCTGAGAGAACATTCATAGAACTTCAAATATGGATGCTGCTGCAAAGAAGTTACAAATTCCTTTCACACACATCTTCAACACAGCAGTACAGAAGATCTATACAGTTAGTTTCAAGGTGGACCCCCAAGATCAGTGTCACCAATTCAGAATCCAACCTAATGTGAAATATGGTCACAATCTCTATTGAGTTATGGCGTTTTATAACAGCCATGAGAGGGTTTTTGCAGCTCGTTAACATGTACACGGTGACAGTGCAGTTGACCTTTGACCTTTTGGACATAAAATCACTTCATCACGTTATCCTATTAGATATTTGTGTGACATTCTGTCATAATTACCGTATTAAGTCTTTGACCTTTGATTCTAATCAGTTCATCCTTGAATCCAAGTGGACGTTTGTGCCAAATTTTAAGAAATTCCATGAAGACTTTCCTCATATATTGTGTTCACAAGAACGAACCGAGATACACCAACGTTTTGTCTCTAAAGGTCAAAAGCTCCAAAAATGCTGGATGCTACATTTCCCATAATGCAACTCAACACTTTGTTAGACCATCCCTGCCTGGTAAACTTCCACATCATAAAGTTTGCACCTAGTTTGTAACACAGGCTTTCTGTTAAAACCATGTAGTTTATATAACCTTGATCACAACAGTAGAGATCATTTTATAAAACAAAGCTCCCCCAGAACAACGTAATGCTCCTCATCACTAATAATCTGATCTTGTTGAGTAAAATTGGTTGAGGGTCCCTTCAAACGCAACGATAAAGTCAACAGCTGGTTAGCTTAGCTTAGCATAAGGACTTGAAATAGGAGAAAACAGCTCGCCTGCCTTTGTCCGAGGGTAACGAAATGCAACCACCAGCAACTCTCGTTAATGAATACATAAATTGTGTAACTAATGTGAACGATAAACAAAGTCCAGTAGTGTCAATTTGTCATGTCATGGAGGTTGTGTGGCCGACTATTTATTGGCCTGGCCGAGTAACTTCCTGCAGTTATTATTGAGGAACCAGCTTTTATATTTTTGCTGTCCTAATTCTTGTGTTAGCACCCAGCGAGCTGGCCGCATGCTGCATGGCTGGGAGGGACGTTCAACTTAATGACCTGCTGCTGAGACTCAGTATTAAGGATGCGACAGGTTAGCAGAGCAGAGTGAGCTTTTATCTCTGTGCAGGGTCACAGCCAACCAAACACAAGGACGGCATCGCTGACAAAATAGAGATAGTCAGTTGGCTGCTTGTGGATGTTCGGGCCAAAGGCTTGCAGAGGGTGGAGCTGCACCTGGCAGAGCTCCAGAAAGCTGAGTAATCAGTCTCAGGGACCTGCATGCCGACCTGGGCATGTCATGCAGTGGTCCCCTATGTGGTCCGCTGCAGCACTGTGGTGAAAACATTCGATCAGTAACTACACCCGTTATAAGAATATTAGAGCAACTGAGGCTGTGATTTATTGATTGTTGGCATCCGACACACAGTTTTCACACAGTTGAGAGTGAACTCTGCTACAGGGGCGGATCTAGAGGGGTGGTAATGGGGTGGCAGCTGTAACAAAAATGTCTGGCTACCTCATCTGCCACCCCAACTGACTATCTTTGGTGTCAAATTTAAAACATTAATTTAGATTTATTTAAAAACATAACGTGTTAAAAAATGGAAATCAAATTATCTGTTCTTGCCATATTTTAGATCAAGAGACCAGCTTAAGTTCAGTTTGAAAAAGCTTTGTATTTGGAAAATAAAACAATTCATTGATTTAATGCCACCTTAGATATTTCTATTCAATGCTGTAATAATGTGCCATAATAATGTAATGTTTTTATATCTTCATTTGGGGGCTTTTCCAAGCAAATATTGATATACGTGATTATTTGCGATTAAGTCAGCATATATTTCTGCCTCTCCAAGCTTCCCCTCTTTCCACCCCATGAGTACTTTTCCAGATTCGCCCCTGCTCTGCTGCAGCTCAACAACACCATAAAGCAGTTTGAGCTGGCACTACGTTGCTCTGTACTAGGTATAAGAGTCTCTTTTCTGAGACATCTGCACTTTCCAGGCCAGCTGCAACCCACGTTGCCAGCGTTCATTAGGGATTTACACACAGAGAAAAAGCATGTCTGTGAGTCTTATCCAGCAGATTGACTTCCGGCTAAAAGCATGTGCAGCTTGAGGTCTGGTTTTAAAACATGCGGTGGATTCATTTAACATCGAACAGACCAAAATGAAAACAACAAATACACCTCAACCGAGCTGGTTCATTACACTCTGGACTAATACTGACTAATGTTATAGTGGCAGATTCTTGTACGACATCAAAAATTCCGAGAGATTAAGGCTATTACTTTCATACACAACACTATCAAAGAGTTAAAATGAATGAAGAACTAGGCATCAAACCAGGGTCCCTCACTGCCTTCTAGCCTTTTATTAATGAGCAAGCAGTGAACCAGATCTTCTGCAAAGCTTTCAAGCATCGCTGCTCCGAACAAGTGACCACAAACTAAACTAAGACAGGGGAGTTCTCCAGTTATTGGCCAACATCCCTAAGGCCTTTACTGGTTTGTGGCTCGCAGGACATTACATAACTGCATAATGTCTGAACTGATGAATTTATAGGACACGCCACCCACAGATACTATAACATAACACACAGGGATAACAGGATCGAGTGTATGTGTTTCTCTTGGCAAAGGCAGTGGATGACATTCATGGCTGTTAAGCCTGAATCTGAGTCACGTCACTGCCTCACAATGCGCATTTTACATGTTGATATTGCTACTTATTTATCTTTGGCACTCAGTGTTTTAATGATAATCGCTTCTTTATTCATTAAGTTCTCTCTCAGGTTCGTATCTGTGTCTGCAGACACAAATTTCCCCAAAGGGACCACTCCAATTTCATCTAATCTAATCAGAGGAGTTCATCTTTGTGACATTGGTGCAAAGACATTGTTGCGATGACTTACATAGTTTCTCAGCACAGTACACACTGACACACACTGTACAAGGACGACAGATGGCCTCAAATGGCTTCCAATTGTCTTTGCTACCCCAGCTTCTCAAACTGGGAGCCTTGGCAACAGGACAAACCAGGCAACCTCCAGTTGTCATTTGGGTTGTACTAAAACAATGGCCTGTCAGGGGGGCCCGGGGCAAACATTTGCTGCTGGGTGCCTTTATATTCTTCTTCTTCCTCTAAAGTTTAGCCAGCAACCATTGATTTTGCCCCCTGAAGTGACAACTCCCGCTGGTGGATTTAATCCACTGTAGCCAGCTAACTAATTATTCTACTGTTAAATCAAAGAGTTGGTGAAAATTAAATCTGCAGTTGATTTTTTAGTGTTTCCAGCTGTTTTAAAACAATAATCTTGTTGGGGTCTTAAATATGCACATAACATATGGCTACATGATACTGAAAGATAAAGCCAGAGCGGCATGTCCAAGGCAAAAAGTCAACGTTGATGATCCATGTAGAAGACATAAATTAAAAAACAGTATTTTTCTTGTATTGCAGTGTAGAACTAAAGTATTATAAGTTTAATAAGGTAAAGATCACACTAATATAACCCTGTTTGGCTGCTTAGCTTACATACATGTTCATATTTTTAAACAGCATGCTTTTAACGTTACAAAAGAAAGTGCACTGAACATTTTTCAGGGCATTATACAGTGGATACATTTACATACTTAGAAATTGGACATTCAAAAATATCAAAATAGAGGACAGTAGTGACCTATATAGTAAATAGTATATAGAAAGTGATTTTGGACCCACAGCCTAATTTATGTGTTTGTGGAATGCAACAACATCTTGGATGTTGAGTTTGGCTACAGATGGTGGAGTGTAAACATCCCAATAAAGAGCTGGACAGAGCTAATGTCCATCTAAACTCTGATAGCATCAAAGACAGGCTCCCACTTATACCTTTCCCTACGGAAAGATTACACAGTGGATTTATTATATATAGACCTGAACACAGCTTTGTTTTACATAATATATAACCCTACAAACTAATGTAGCTGGGTAATGATATGGGGCTCATCCCTATGCTCCCAGGGTCCTATGGTCCCAGGCATGTGTGTCTCTTGATATAGCATTATAAAACATTGGTAAGGGCAGATCTACTGCAGAAGGACAAAGGGAGATGGACATTTTAAATGCAGTTTGAATAGTTCAAATCTGTTTAGCCACTGTGGCCAAAGATTTGAGGGAGTAGGTTTCAAGGTCACTCCCTGAAACCTACTCCCTCATCAGTGGCCTATAAGCTGTAGGTGGTACATACATTGAACATTTGACCCAGGGAAGAAACATTTTCTCTTGTGTATTTCTAAAAAGAAACCCTTTACTTTACTAACTCTTTAAATGCAGAGTATTGATTTTACTACAACCCCATGCACACTACTTTTGTTACAGTTGCTAAGCTACGATTGGACAACCGCTGTGCAGAGAAGGGGTTTTAGCAAGCTCTCAACTGGGGTTCAACAACTTCATTTTGCCACAGGGCCCCACAGCGGGTTAATCTGCTTTTAGCCACTCTTTTAAAATCAAAGTTTAAAGTGACGAGAAGAAAGAGAAACAGCATTGTCAAATGTGCTGTACCATACCTCCCACAAAGTTTTTCTCCAGGTAATCTATAATCTGGTTGTAGTCACTGATGATGTTGTCTCCGTGGAGGAAGACGGGCACCTCCTCACCCAGATTCAGCCTCATGAACCAGGGCTCCTTGTGCTCCTGCAGCGGCAAGCTCACATCCCTCTCCTCACAGACCAGACCCTTCTCATTAATGACTAGACGTACCTGCAATTATAAGCACAAAAAAAACATGACATGACCTCCTGGCTGATGCAGGGAAGATGAGACATTGAAGGCATTCGTTTACTCCAGGTTGCACAAACCCAAAAAGAGTTAAATAGGCAAAAAAGGTTTGTGTAAGCTCTAAACACACCACACCTTTTCCTATATATAAATAAATACAATGCACAGGCTGAACTAGGGAATATTTTGTCGCTTTAAAAATATCATTCAGATGGTAAAACACAAAAACAACAATGCTAAGCAGACTGGCTAATAGCTTCGGCTCTTAGTTTATGACATTAAACTGTTGTCATGTTTGTGTTGTATAGAATAAATAGGCTTAACTGAAATGTATGGCAAAATAATGAGACACAGCGTGTTCAAGTTTGAGCATAAACCTTCCAGGACAGTCGGGATCCATTGCTCTTGGGATGAAGGATAAGCCAAGGTCCACGGAGAGCTATTAGTGGGAATAAGATTAATGAAAGGAGATGACACTTGGGGTATAAAGTGCTACATTTGGCCGCTTAGGAGGAACAGCAAAATGGGAGTTTTGCTGAACATGGCCAGACAATGTGTAATGAAATAAAACTGAGAGATTTAGTAACACAAGCAAAGTAATTATAGTGGGGGCCACTGGTTCGGACAGCAGGAAAGAATCTATGAATGCAGCAAGAAAATCAAAGAGGTAAAACACTTTTTACATCTCCATCAGCGCGGCACTGTTCGACACTGTTTAAATCAAGGATTGCTATATAAAACTGTCGAATGTTTCAGGTCCCAGTCTCACACTGCTGAGGGGTCCCTCTGTGATGCCCACAATAACACTGCTGCAATGAGAGTTTGTTATATAATAATATTAGTCACTCCTTAGTAATAATGCCAAATAGTTCATCTGCTTGGGAGGCAGAAAATAAACTAATCTTACTGAAGAATAAATGTTTCCACTACATTTGCTGTTAACAGTGGTGGAAAGGAACATTTACTCAAGTACTGTAAGGACAGTTTTGACGTGCTTTACTTTCCATTTAATTCTACTTTACTACATTTCAGAGGGAACTATTGTGCTTTTTTTCCACTACATTTATCTCACAGCTGGAGTTACTAGTTAACAGGTTTTACATTTGAAAAAAAAACATGAAATATAACACGCTGTTAAAGATTAAATGAGTCTGCTGTGTCTCACTGGGGCCCCTTGTCATGTTTCAGATGTCCTTGAGTTGTTTGCTTTTCCACTAGGTCCTCACATGGTTCCATTTGAATAAGGAGGTAAAAGTCAAATCACTCACAAAAAAGCGAAAATTAGAGAAAGAGAAAGAAAAATACAAATTTGTTTATCACAATTATCTTTTTCTTCTTTATACTGTGACCCTTTGGAGGCACAGAAGGGAGTCCCTTTTGTAAAATGTGTAAAAATGTGTTAAGAGTCTGGTTCTTGGCAATAACAAATTGTTCACTATTCATTTATTCAGCGTAATAAATGAATGCCAGAAAAACAACATTAAATATCCACGGCTGGATGAAGGAGGGTGGCATGGAGCTGCCTGGCCCCAGTTTGGTGTCAAATGCAGTCAACTTTAACACATTAAATTACATTAATTTAAAAAAAGCAAATTGATTTAATGATCTGTTATGGCCACATTTTAGACTAAGTGAAAAAATGTCTAAAGATTTGGAAATAAAACAGTTTATTGATTTCTAATGTCACCATTAGACCACAGTGTGTTACTGTGCCACAGTAATTTAATGTTTTTGAGTTCAAATATCTTTAATTTTGGTGCTTTACAAAGCAAACATGGAGATTGTTTGCAAATAAAACAGCATATATAGCATATTCAGTCTTCATGCCACCCTCTTGCCACACCATGAATGTTTCTCTAGATAAAGTAAATCTCCTAACATGCAATAATATCAATAAAAAGCTTCTTTTTGTAACTCCAAACAGTCTACACACAGGGACAGATTATGAGACAACCGGACCCTGGACACAAACATATAAAAGGTCCCCCATCCTTCCGACAATGCAACAATACATCCACCCTGTAAGAGATACAAATCAGCGGCGTCTCTTTGTGGTCATTCTGTGTCTCTTTGTAGTCGGTGCAACAAGAAATGGTAACAGTCTTTTCACAATGAGGCTCTGGTCCAGTAATCCATCCATGACACTAACAAGCCAACTACCTACAGTACCTACTGACCCTCTATTCCAGCTCCTGTTTGAAGGAGGTTGATCTTTAATGAAGATTGGAAACCACTGGACTACACTATGTAAAGCTCTAAGTCAGCTACAGCAGTAAAATGCAGCTTACACCTTGATGCATTAGGATTAACATAATGTGATATATCATATCACATTATTGTAATTTTTCTGCAGAATTAATACTTTTACTGACAATACTTCTGTACTTTTCCTTGAGTAGACTTGAATGCAGGACGTTTTCTTGTAACAGAGTTTCTACATCGCTGTATTGGTACATTTATCAAGTAAAACACCTTAATACTTCTTCCTCCACTGGTTATTAATGCACAGTTACATTGGAAATCACAAGATCCTAATTCTCAAATGACACGGACTCTGCCTCTACACGGACAGAGAACAGCAGAGTGTTTCACTCTCACAGAGGGTGTGCTGAAGGTGTAAATCCCTAACCTGCAGGCCTTAAGGGTGCCAGTTCTGTATTGATCTGTGAAGCTGGCCTCTAAATGTGGTGTTACTCCAGGCTATCGAGCTCCATCTGTCTTTATCTTTATCATATCTCTTGTGTTCACAATACATTGCTCATGTGAGTCAGATGAATATACATGACCCACTTCAGGCCACGGGAGCACGGTTACAGTGGCAGTTAAGGCAGTCGTGAAGCATCATAAACAGAGAAGAGGGGTAAAAGTGTTGTGCAGGAGGAACTCAATGGCACAGCTCCCCGCTTTCCTCAAGAACTTGCTGAGGCATACACAGCCCTGTAAATAATCCCCCTGAACACCTGATGACGATACTGTCTTCACAGAGATATCGGTTGTTGATCTGCTGGAGAAGTCACTGCTTTGTCATTATCACTCGCTCAGTATCTCAATGCCAAAGTGTTTAGAGTAGGATTCATTTTTAGAGAAAGGGTTTTCAAGTGACACAAGACCGACTAAATATAACACTATCTTTCAAGGTGCTGCAGAGATAACGATCACGTCGCAAGCGTTTGCGTTATATTAAGGCAGAAAATATTCAGTTCAATTCTGGTGAAGTGGACCTAGTGCTTCGCCTTTTAATCTCATAAAAGCCATCCCCAAAATACCATTTAAAGCACGCATCCGCTTGCATAACAACAAATGTCATTCACCATTGTACAAGTAAATATAATCAGGATCGCTCTGCAAATTTAGTGCCGCAATTTTACTGAAATCTATGTGTACTGTTCTAAAGCTGCATGCCCAATAGTCTGTTCCTTGACAGCAGTGGTAGTGAGCGTCACTTCAGCCTCTCCAGCTCCAGGATTGAGGTGATAATCATGACAGTGAGCCTGGTGTTTACCCTCTGCTGAGTGACAACCGGCACAATCAACCGCTCCGTGGATGTGTGCCAACAGTCGACGTACCGACATGAGACTGAGCAACAGCACAAGGTTGTTGGTCTACGGTGGAGAGGAGGATATACTGTAACACCATCCTTCAGTTCATACAGTAAAGCTGAGTACATGCCGGGAAATATGCATTGAGCCACTTCTCACAACAAGAAAATGTAACCAATCCTATACTAAGGTGTGTAATGAAAGATCAAAGCAAGGCAGAGTGGAGCTCACAAGAGCTAAAGATTATTTTCATTCTCGATTCAGAATCTGCCACTTATTTGTTTTTGATGAATCGATTAATTGGCGAAATGTCCAAAAAAAGTAAGTAATGCCCATCACAAAAGGATGTCAAGATATTCAGTTTGTTTTCACCCAAAACAAAAATTCAAACAAATCTGCACTTATTTTGAAAAGCTGGAACAAGGGAATGTTTGACTCTTTAAAACTTTAGAATTGATTAGTTGCTAATAATGTTTCTGTTGATCGACTGACTACGCTAGGGGTCGGATACAATGCAGATCTTTAAGCCCACTTCAGTGGCTCCCTGTGGCTTTAAGAAATAAAGAGAGAAATAAATAAAGTGGAAATAAAATTGAAATAATAACCGTTATTATAAAATTTGATGGAAATAAATTACAAAATCTGCTTCAAAACATATTTCATCATCATAAAATATGTTTTGCAGCAGATTTTCTTATATTTTTAGGCCAGAAATAACTCTTTTTACAGTAAAGGTTGTGGATCCCTGATCTAAGTGATTAGTCACCTTAATGTTTCAGTTCTAAAACTCACATAAATAAAGCATAAGAGTGCAATTCATGTGCACACATAAGGCACAGAGGGGGACTATTTAGTATTGCACTTCCATACATTTGGGCAACTTACGAGAGAAAACAAAATGATCAAAGTCGAAGCAGCAGAGGCTGAGATATCCTGACTTTTACTCGCTACTATAGGTCGAGCTCCATAAACACTGGATCTAATATTCCCCCATAATGCAACTTGATTGTGTCTACAGAGAGACAAATTCCATTAGTACGAATATTTTGTAAAATATTTGTAATTATGCCATTAACTAAAGAAGGGTTGTTGGAAATTCTTAAAAGAACAATCTAATATTATTGTTTATATAATATTCTGTTTATTATCGACCTTTAACAAACGCCATTGAAGTCCACTGATCGTAGCATCTTAAAGATCACAGCTCCACAAAAGAGCCGAGTCAAGGCATTGCAGCTATAGTCCAAACACTGTAATCATAAGGTTACAACCTATATACTGTCAATGGTTACAACTAACACTTATTTTTTATTATATTATCAATTCATAGTTCAGTCTATTAAATGTTTTTAAAAAACAAACACACCCATCACAACTTCCCAGAGCCCAAAGTGACGTCCTTAAACTTCTTGTTTTGTTCGACCACAGTCCAAAACAGAAACGTATTACTAATTTATCGTGTATGATGCAAAGAGCAGCAAATATTTAGTCATATTTCACATTTTTGCTTTAAAATGTACTTATTATTATTCATTTCCTTTCAACTGACTTATCAGTGAATGGACTAATTGTTGCAGCTCTAATAATAACATGAACCCAACGCTGTAGATGCATTCAGACTGCAGAGAAGTTTATAGATTGAGATTAAGACACAAACTGATGAGTGAACTCAACTTAAGTAGTAAAATTGGTGGAGTGTTTCTTTAATATACATGCTTGTGTAGTAAAGCCCATACATAAGTGTACACAGCCTTCCTGCAGCTTTGTTGTCACTGTGGATTAATCTTTTTTTAATAGCTCTGATAGCTAAAACACAACATCTTTCTTCACGCATGCTCATCTCACAGCAAAGGTACAGGTGACTGTCTGCCAAGGTAATCAAAGGTAGACTTAAAGAAGCCATTACGATAACAACATACGGTATGATTCAGCTGCAGAAGGGGGAGAAGATGGCCTTTGGTTTGTTTTGCACATCATTTTAATCAATTATTTAGGATGTCATGTGCCAGAGCACATAGGTTGTAACCAGCCACAGAGACAGGAACAGCCTTAATGTGTTAATGAAAGGTGGAAGGTGGTGAGATAAGGGTGGTTTATGCGGTGGTGAGTGAAAGACAACAGAATATTGACTATCAATCCGGCTATATGTCGAGGAAATGAGCCCAATGCTGCAGCAGCGCTTGTCTAAACGTCTCAAACGGGAGATCTGCCCAGCTGCAGGATCATATTCATATTCCGGAGCAATGTGCAGGAATAAACATGCACACACAATAAAAACACAACATGCTTTGATCATAAACAAACACAGGGCTCCTCCACGCTGTAGCATCATGCAAAGAGACGTGAAGCCACCTCCATTTTCAAGCTCTGCTCTTTTTTTTTTTTTTTTACCTTTTGGGAGGTGAAAGACTGCGTCCAGTGGTACAAAACGAGCCTGTCTTTATTGAAGGGTTTGGGCTCCGCCGTGGGCTCTTCGCACTCCTCCCCGTCTGTGATTTTGCCGTCCTCGTCCATCGCTGAGATGGGCCACCAGCTACAGTTGGTGGGGGTAACATGGTTGGAAGACGCCATGACAGAGCGTTTTGTGCGTGTGGAGGAGAGGAGCGAGGAGGGAGAGAAGAGGAGAGAGAGAGAGAGAGAGAG